TTATAGGCATTCTATATTTATAACAACATCTTAAGAATAAATAAGTATAATTCCACCTAGTAATTATTTCTTCAGGCATGAGTCTTGGTTTGAGTCCATAGTGTACACATTTTTCCTTAGATGCATTTAATCTAGCACTTCTATTATTTCCTTGAATTACACCAACAGCTCTCCTAACTAAAGTAATTTCATCTCTAAATAATTCAAGGCCACTCTTCACAATCAAGTTATAAATATAACATGCACATCTAACATGAAATAATGGGTGTAGATGCAATTTTAATATTGTAATAACAACATTGTNTAAAGTAATTTCATCTCTAAATAATTCAAGGCCACTCTTCACAATCAAGTTATAAATATGACATGCACATCTAACATGAAATATTTCAGGAATTGGTGGGTGTAGATGCAATTTTAATATTGTAATAGCAGCAGTATTGTTAGAAGCATTATCAATGACATACACAAAACTTTTTCTGCAAGATTATAAAATATAACAACTTCATGTATAGTATTACTTATAAATGCACCAGTATGACTTTGATCTTCATCATATTTAAAAGCAATAATACGTTTTTGCATACAAAAATTATCATCTATCCAATGACATGTAACAGTCAAATAATCATTTCCATTTACAGCACGACCAATATCAGAAGTAAGAGAAACTTTACAAGGAAGATTTACGAACAAATAACGTATATATGTCTGATATTGTCCAAAAAGCCTAAAGATATCAACTCTACAAGTACTTTAGGAATACCTTTAAACATAGGGTTATAAATTCTTTGAATATAAGTAACAAAATACGGTGAAGAAGCAAAACTAAAAGGTAAACAACCTAAAACAATCATTTTAGCTAATTCTTCCCGATCCTTCTTAATATCGTATTTACCAAATAACCCCCCGTACTCGGGTTAAGTTTTTGTTGCCCAGATTCCTCATCTACTCCCCAATCAAGAGAGGGTTTCTCTTCCATATGCCTACGAAGTTGACCCGTTCCCCCTCCCTTACCGGGCTCATGTTTATAAACTTAACTACAAATTTTACATTTTAAATACTTTTTTTGATCATCTAGTCTTTCAAAAAACATCCAACACTTACTTCTTAATCGTCGATTCTTTTTAATAGGGAGAGGGGGCCTACTTGTTCCACCCCTAACATTTTGAGTTTGACTAGCATTACCAGGTGTAGGTGGTGGTGTTTCAAGATTATCGGGTGATTGAATATCATCTAAATCATCATCTATACCAAAGTTTTCTTGCATTCCCTCATAATCTACATTTAAATTTTCAGGTGAACTTTCAGAAATATGTGTGCATAATCTAAATTTAAATTTTCAGGTGAACTTTCAAAAATATGTGTAAAGCTACTAGAAGAACCAACACCACCTCTTGATCTTTTGGAAGTTTTCTTACTACCACCTCTACTAGTGCACGCTTTTTTGGCTGCTCTAAGTAAATCCATTATGTAAATTAAATTAAGAAATTAAATTAATAATTCTAAATAATAAAATAAGTGTACACCAAATAAGAGAGAGATGGAACGAGTGTACCGGGATTCCGGATGCCGCACTAATTTTGATATCAAAACTCAAACTTCAATTGATAGACCGAAAGCCTGAAACTTGATAGTTGATACTTGATAGTACTTGATACCACACTTCACTTGAATACTTGATAGTTGATATTTGATAATAATAATTTTGTAATGGCTAAACTAAATAATTGATGAAACTTGAAATAATAAATAATTGGGAATTTGAGATTTGAGAATTTAAGAACAATAATATCAAGAGAGAATTGAGACTTGAGAGAAAATTAATGTAGTAAGAGAGTGAATTGTGAGAAAAAATGAAGAAGAGGAACTATTTATAGGTTTTAAAAGGATAAAAATATAAATTTTCAATTATTAGGGGTGGGAGGACTATATTTTTAATGGGGGAGGCCGAAATGGCCATTTTTGCAAAATCTGGCCGTTCCCCAACGGTCATTTCTCAATTTGACCGTTGGCAACGGTCCAAATAATTAAAAATAAAAATAAAAATTCAGCAACGGTAACCGGGCTGATAACGGGCTGCAGCCCGTTAACGGGTCACGGGCTTAGCGGGTACGGTGCACCGTTAACCAGAACATGTTCGTCCAAAACCCGCCCCCCAACCAACCCATCCCAGCCCGCACAATAAGGAACAGTACCGGGCTGACCCGGGTTGAAGCAGGTTGAAAATGGGTCAGCCCAGCCCGATTAACACCCATATATAGATATACACGCATGTACTGATAAGTGGTTGGCATCCTCAAATAAGTTCAAGAAAAGCTGTGTCACTGTTTTGAAGTTTTGTAGTGAAGAAATGAGTGGTTGGCATCCTCATTTTCCCTTTCACAGAGGGCACACATGTGCATGACCCTTCTTAACACGTTATGTTGTGCTAGAAGCTTTTCTTGTCACCAACCAGCTGACGCAGCTTACGTATCTTACAAGGTGCCTTGCACTTCCAAATCCGTTTCCAATGCCAATTCCTTTGAGAATTGCATCCTCCAGACAAAACTTTGTAGCCAGATTTTACTGAGCAAAGACCATCCTTCTTTCTTTCCAACAAATTCCATAAGAATTATGAGAGAGGAGTTCTTCCCAGAGTTTGAAAGAACTGGTTCATCCTTGCCATTTCCCTGCATTGTCTTCTGAAAGACACTTCTCATCCTGGTTCAGAGACACATTCTGGTGAAAGACTTTTTTTGTTCCCTGCAAAGCTATGAATATCAAGAAGTCCAGTCTATCATGCCCTTTCTCTGTGGGGCCTTTGCTTCATGATTAGACATCCTAACCACTTAAAGATACTATTATGCAATATCAGGTTTCTACTCCCTCCTTTTCTGTAATTACAGAGTTCTGTTTCACCTGTATTGGGGGATACTCATTGACAAACTAAAATTTGAACAGCGAACTGTCCTTGGTATTACAAAGAAGATAGTGGTGAAGGGACAAAATATTTTTGTGGTTCATTGATTCTTTTGCTATGAAGCTTTTGTTGTCTGTATATATTTTAAAATCTTTTTACAATTTGGTCCTTATCCAGTTATCTTTTGCTATGAAGCTTTTCCCTCTGTTATTTTTCTTTATCATTTTTACCTTGACAGCTTTCCCACAACTCTCTTTCGCATATATGTGCATAGCTCATTTTTGGAATACATTTGTTACTTGATGGACGGGGTGCTTTTATTCTTTCTCTATCATCAGGTGAAGTATCACTATATTAGAAGATGGAAGTCACAAGTTCAGTATTTATCCTTCATCTCGTTATATGCCAAAGATGAATCGGGAGAACCATTGCGGTTGAATTGCTGTCGACAATCTGATTTTGTTGACATTTCCAGTTCTAGTGATAGTGCCTGGGCATTTTGGAGGGCGCTTCCATACAAACATGACATCTATGATGGTGATGTTGACTTGGAGACATATCTTCCACAAACTAAAAATATATTTTATCTTGTGAACAAGAAGAATGATTGTGCTTTAGCTTTTGTTAATGGGGTCCTGGAAGTTGTCAGCAATCCTGGACACCCGTTTAAGTTTAAAGTATTTCATGATCCTTCTCCATATGTTGGCAATGTTTTATTGGATGGCATTCTAGAGAAGGAATTTGGAAAAATCATGCTACATGATTCATGTATAAGTGAGGGAAAAGATATTAGTCAGCGAGGAAGTTCTTTTGGTGTAACTGTGTCGGTGGACAAGGTTTCTTTGACCATCGTCCATGAACTTTCGGACTCCAAGGAAAAGTATCCCCTCCTCCAGGGTTCAATTAGTACTACTGAAGTTGTTATACAGATATCGAATGCTAAAGTTCGGGTTATGAGCAGGCTGGAGATTTTGCTGTATTACTTTGACTCCCAGAAAAATATGTGGTGAGTCTCTTTAGTAAAACAATGTAAATTAATGCAAGCTTTCATCTTCTCTTTGATCTTATATTTTAGAACCGATGGTCCCAATATGTTGTAATTTGTGTTACTCACTTGTTTGTGATGCCAGGAGAGAACTCATGCATCCATTAGAAATTGATGTTTTCTACCGCTATAGATTTCAGACCCAGGGATCAGAAAATATTATCCACTGGGTGCCTGGCCATTTCTATGCTAGATTGAAAGAGGTCAGATTAATATCTCTATTTTTCATGTGATTTTCTTTTCTTTTTGTGAATAATCATGTGATTTTCTTTTCTTTGTTGATATTTGTGGCTTGGCAGTTGAGTATGACAATGACTGAGCTTTCTTTGGACATTATTCTCTTTGTCATTGGGGAGTTGAATCTGGCCGGTCCTTACTCTGTAAGGATCTCGACAATTTTGGCCAATTGCTGCAAGGTTCTTCTCTGACATAGCTACTCATGCTTCATACACTCTGTGGCTTTGCAAACTTAATCTTGCTTGAAATGTTTTATATTAGTGAGAAAGCACGGGAGAAAATATTATTGATATTATTCTCATATGTTAAACATGATACAATGAGCCCTATATATATACATAACATGTCCTACTCCTAATACATATGAGATTAGGGTTATTTACTACTATTTACATAACTATTCTAACACTCCCCCTCAAGCTGGTGCATATAAATCATATGTACCGAGCTTGTTACATATGTAGTTAATACGAGGACCAGTGAGTGACTTGGTGAAAATATCTGCAAGCTGATCATTCGACTTCACAAACTTTGTAGCAATATCTCCCGAGAGTATCTTTTCTCTGACAAAGTGACAGTCAATCTCAATGTGTTTAGTTCTCTCATGGAACACTGGATTTGACGCAATATGAAGAGCAACTTGATTATCACACACAAGTCCCATCTGACTAATCTCACCAAATTTCAACTCCTTGACAGTGTTATCAAAGGCGCGCTTAAGCCCTAAAACGAGGCTCAAAACACGTTGAGCGCTTCGCCTCTCTTAGCGGGCACTTCAATATTGTCATCAAGGCTTTAAGGCATACTTTTCCTTGCCAATGAGCGTAATCCTGAAGAGGCGATACTAAGCAATTGATATTTTACTTTATTGTAAATTTTCTTCGATTTCTTTGTCCTTATATTTGGTATTGATGCTTATTGATATTAGTTTGGACTACACATACATATTTGTAGTTTTTTTCCATTTGCGCCTTTCTTCATTAAAGCCCACGCTTTATTTGCGCTTTGCGCTTAAAGCCTTAATAGACCTTAGAGCTTTGTTGCGCTTTTCGCCTTTGATAACACGGCTCCTTGAGCAACTGTTTGATCCAAATTAGCTCACATGTCGCCATAGCCATTGCTCGATATTCTGCTTCTGCACTAGACCGAGCAACCACATTCTGTTTTTTGCTCTTCCAATATACCAAATTTCCTCCTACTAAGACACAATTGTCACGCCCCAACTTCGGGAGGCGCGACCAACGCTCAACCGAGTGAACCCAACTGAGCAAGCCTTATCAACCGCTATCTACCCAACTCGATAGGAATAATGAAGCCATGCTTACCTTTATTTAAACTAGGAAAGATAGTACATTCAACATGTTAGTTCATTTTATATCGCAACATTTAAAACGTGGTTAAACTTCCAAGGTTCCATACAAGTTATAGTGTAGAAGAAAGCAAGAGTACAAAGTTACAACACGGTCCATTGACCTATCCAATACCCATACATAACCCACACAAACGTCTACGGAGCCTCTAAGGATACAAAAGAGTGTTGCAATACTTGCCGGTAACAAGGCTCCGGCTATACCTTACGCAAATACCAAAATAAGATTTTCGGGAGGAAAAGCGGCATGAGCCACGCAGGGCCCCGAGAGGAAAAACGGGCTCACCAATACAACTGACGGAAAGTGAAGGAGTGCTACTGTCGGTAGACTGGAGTACCTGCTATAGAACCACCTACAATCATAACACGAATGTAGCGGCCCCGACAAAAGAGACGTTGGTATATTTGAATTGTACTGGTATGTATGAACAAACTTTACCCCAAGTAAAATCAAGAAATACACAGGTAACAAACAGTAATAGAATCAACAACACAATGCACATGAAAGGAACAACCAAAGCCAAACAAGTTCCACAATCTCTCCTTTTCCCCTTTCAACATTATTTCATCACATCAATGATTTCACAACTTTCACATATTTTCATTTCAATAGTGATTTCGATCACTTTTCCACCCTTATTACCTCGGCCACCCTTATTACCTCGGCCACCCTTATCACCACAACCCACACCTTATAACTACGTGTTGCGGCGCGCAACCCGATCCCACCGGACAATTACATTTCACACGACAACACAACAATTCACAAAGAGTTTTCATAGACATCAATACCATTTCCATTATATGCAACAGTCCGTATACAATTTAAGTCACAACGATAATTGCCGCGACAAGTCACGTATGATATTACCACAGTTGTTTCAATTGCATCAATTACGATTTCTTTCCATCATTTGTTACACAGCTCTTACCACATAAGCACCTTCACACACACGCTTGGCTTGTTGCCATTTACTTACACCATTATATCAGGAAACTTAGCCAACAACGTTCAAGGCATATTAATCACAAGAATTCACAAATGGTCCACATAAATGACACATACCAATTACTTGTACACCAAACAAGGTGACTTTACAAAGGTTAAAGTTAGCCATCCATACCTCAAATTCGCCCTTAGTGATACTACAATGATCCAATACACTTAAGAAACCTCAATCTACAATACAACATTCAATATGGCCAATATTAGTAATAAATTCCGTAACTTATGCCATTTAGGCATATCATCAAACACCTTGTAGGTATAGATCTTTACACCCCATAACTATAGTATTGGTTCACCCAACTATCACCATTAACCAACAATTCATTCCACCATCATTCCTAACCAATTTA